ACAGCAAGACACCCCCCCCCCTCCCCCCCCCCCCCCCCCCCCGCCACAGAAGCACAATGTCCTACTGTAGAATTTTACAAATAACATGAATGGCTTGATTCTCTTATCACTGTATTACTTGCTACTTCAAGGCAAATATTTTGGTCCCAATTCAGGCATAAGTTTTAAAATCTTGTTTTGGCTTGCACAGAGGCTGTGGAAAGGACTTAAGAAAAAAGGACAATTACTTCTTTAATCTTGCCATCAGGCTTTACCCTCTGGTTGATACGGGCCACTCGTATTCCTCGTACGCCTCTCACACAACCCCAGTGTTAATGTACAAGGTATTGCTCAATGGGAATAAAGACTGTAAAATCTACCTCCAAATCTATATGAGGGGATAACAGAAAAAAACTTATTCCTTTTTCTACAAATCTTCCAGAAGATTAAATTGTTATTTTTGAATACTCACTTTCATCTCTGGCTGTATTTAAACTTACAGAAGGTAGAATGTTTATTAAATGGCAAACTTACCTTATATTTTCATAACAACTAACTTCTGGCTTTAACATTGCAGTGTGTCGAAATACTTTATAAATAATCACTCCGAAAGCCAACAAATTAACCTGGGGGGAGTGAAGAAAGGAACTTTTAGTTCAAACCAGGATGCTTTTGAATTTCAATAACTGTTACACATTTAAATGAAACAAGCCAAATAAAGTTTCTGTGTATATGAAACCTACAGAATCCAGTGCCAGAAGGGGAAAAAAACCTCCATGCTTTTCTGAGCCACTTCTATTAAAAAAATATGAGCCCTGTAATAAACATTGATCAAACAGGGCTGTAACTCTACCTTATCTCAACAGTATCACTACCAACAGTCTGCAAATGTTTATTGATTTTATTGGTAAATCTCTTAAAAGAAAAGAAAAGAAAAGAAAAGAAAAGAAAAGAAAAGAAAAGAAAAGAAAAGAGAAGAGAAGAGAAGAAAAGAAAAGAAAAGAAAAGAAAAGAAAAGAAGAGAGAAATGGAGACAACCAAAAAAGCCCCTCCCCCCCATGGGTTTTCTATTGTACTGTATCGTGTAGATCTTGACAAAATGTATGTCTTTTGTTGCTCAATAACATTAATAACATCGTATGGTCTGAGGTCTTTGGGGTGTGAAAACTTTCAAGTGGCACAAAAAAACTTTGAGGTTTACACAAAGAATTTTTAAAAAACTAACTTTGGTTGAAAGGCTCCTTGCTGTGTATTCTCTTTTATATTTTATGTTTGTTTCATAGGTGCATAATTTCAGTATGGTTTTTTTTCCTGCCTTCTTTATAATGTCATCGCTTTATTTGAGTTTGAAACAGAAAAAAGCAACTAAAAGAAGGAGATTTGCAAATGATGCTCAATTATGGTTCTGAACCTCTGTTTGCTCGGCTAGGCTTCACTGATCTTTCATTTAAATTTATACTGCATTCCTTTAACAATGTGGATGGGTTTGCTTTCTTGCCTTTTTAAAAAATTCTTATTTTGTTTTGCAGCATTTAACATCAGAATTTATTAAAAATGTTAGTAAATGAACCAAATTTTAGCTGGATGTCATCCAGATACTATTTGTAGATCCTTGGTTGTAATCTCTTGGTTGGTTCCTGTGGGCTTCCAGCTGTAGAATGAATAGAATTAATGTATTCCCCAACTTGTTTCTCCAGAAAGACTCTGTGGTTTTCCTCCCTCCTTCCTTTTCTTTAAAAAAAAAATCCTCCGAAATGAAAACAAAAAGCTGCTGTAGGAGCACAGCGTCACTTTAAAAAGAATCACTTTCATTTGTTAACACTTGTTATGTATGTCCTTAGAACATTTTTGTTGTGTCAAGGGGGGAGTATCTGATATTAAATGCAGGCTCTGCTTTAATTAGCTGCATGCTCATACTTTAATACAGCATAATGTATTTACAATTTGATAAGACAGGAGATAGAGCTGATTAGCAGTTTAGGGAATTAATCCTAACACCTTGTACTTGCGCTGATCGTGAGAGCTATTCTGAAGCTCCTTATATTTAAAATTGTAATCTATAATATCTCCTAAACCAGCAATTTTTCAAAGTTAATTATAAGCCAGTCAGCAGTTGTGGGTAATTATATGCAGACTTACTTTTTATCTTATATTTGTGGGTGAATAATATATCAAATAACTTAGTGCACACACTGTAATCTGCATAACCCACCTAATGTACTTATTAATCTGAAAAAGGTAGGGTGAAATGTGATCAAAGTACCATGAGAATGGAGAATACACACTGCTACTTCTTCAGAAACTGTTACCGAGATCGCAAGCACAAACCATGTGACCAACCTTCCTCTCTGCCGGCCCGTCACCAAGATCACTCATGTCAATGAGAGCCTTCCTATTGCCATTAATAGGCTCTGTAAACAGCTCTATGTGCCAAACCCCCTTATCCTTCCCACATACACCAGCTGCAGAACTGGAGAGGTTTTGCTGAGCAAGAATGGGGAGGGAAACAGGCCAATGTGGGGCCTCGTGGCAGTGGACTCCATTTTTCTTTGTCCCAGTGGGGCTCCTTTACACAAATACTATTTACACCGTCCGTTGCACAGGATAATAGGATTTGACCCTCTGCATTAAAGTAATACACATTAGCTATGATCCTTTCATTCATCAATCCGTTCTAATGGGAATAATCTGTACGTATCGGGGGAACAGGAGAGGTTAACAGCGGCTTCTCGGAGTCAGCTGCCAGAACACAATTATTGTACAATACGTCTCAGGTAGCCTTGCAGGAGGTAGTGTTACAGGGTAATGAGGGTAAGCTTAACTTCTGAAATACCTGGTCATTTCCAAGATTTATTAAAGCCTTAAGTCGGTTTTTGCCCCATTTTGAAGCACTCCGTTAATAAAAAATATCTATAGTGAAGTGCCTAGACTGCCTTTACACAATGTTCAGTGTCTCAGAACAGTAGCTTTTAGGCAATGTAGTGGGGTGTTGTTTTTTTTTTCCCCAACCTAAGTTAGAGGCCTCTGGAACTGCATTTTTTCCTTTGGGGGACAAAATAAGTAACGACAAAGTAGTTGTAACTGTCCTGTGACACAGAAATGCAGCAAAACCCGAGGGAAAAGAATAACATGAACTCATGGGTAAATCCAGAAGAAAAGACTAGCTAATGTTAATAATGTGTCAAGTGTGGCCTTTAGAGAAAACTGGTAATCCAACAGGTATCCTAAACAACACATTCTGCTTCAACCTGATACTCTGCATGTTCTTTGCTGTGAACATACCAGTAGCCTCAGCTATTTCTGGGAAAAGTAAAGTAAAAAGTTCACATTGGACAGTTGGACTGAGTAGGAACACTGAGAAGTTGGACTGAGTAGGATTGAAGGGGAAATGGCTTTTATATAACTGATATCCTTGAAGAGCCATACGTATTTCAACAAATGGGGTGGGAAGTCAAATCACCCAAAATGCTTGGCCAAAGATGCAACCACTTAAGACATTTGAATTTGTATCCAAAACTGAGCTTCAAATGAACAGAAATGGAGGTAGCAGGCTGTAAAAGTAATCTAAAATATAGATAGGCACAAGGAATCCTGGATCCCCAAATCTTCCAGCTGGGACAAACTGAGGGACTTTTGTATGAGAGATGCTGAAATATCTAAAAGGGTTTCAGCTGCTAGTTATAGCCAAATATTGTGTTTTATACTTACTTTGGTTGTAATCATGTGTTTTCATTTTTGTAATTAAAGCACAATCTTCAGATCTTGTTGAATAAACCTTCGATGACATTATAATTAAGGCTGCCTTAAGGTGACAGGCAAGGTGAATAAGAATGAAATGGCAAATGTAAGGCACGCTGTCTCCGGAGAGGCAGCAAGCTGGCGTAGAGCAAGATGTGCAGGCAACTGTGAAACCAAGCTCAGGACAGGCTTTGCACAGGCCTGGAAAGGGCCAGCCTGGGGACTGCTGCTGCCACATACTGGCTTTGGGGAGAAGTTACCTCTATAATGAGCAGAGCTACTCTGCAGCTTTGGGCAAACCCAAAGCGTGGAATGTTGTGGCATGGCGACAGTTTTATCAAGTGAATAACGGCATTACAGTGTGACACAGTGAGTTCTTGTGCCTTTGTTTTCAGTGTTATTACATGGCTGAGCAGTCAGAGAAACTGCTGCGTGTCCTGAGAGGGGCTTCTTGGCAAGTCTAATAGGCTAAAGGGGAATTGCATTGATTCCAAGCCCAGAACTGAATTTTTTTTTTTTTCAAGCTGCTATTGGCCAAACAGTGCACTCAGTCCTTACTATTTCACAAAGAAAACCTGACTTTCTCCCTGCAAGCACAATTCTGTGAGGTGCTGAGCATCCTCAGCCCTCCCTCACCCTGAGATTCGGTGGGAATCAGGTTTCACTCAGTGTGCTCAGGTGCACTACAGGACTAATTTTAATAATTAATCTATTCCTTTTTTTTTTTTTAAAGTGGTTAATCAAAGACAAGGGCTGATATAGGAACAACCTCCGCTCATACCATCTTCAGGGAATCATTTCTCCTTAAAGATATTTGTAAAAGTATTTTTAGCTTTCTGAAATTCTAGAAACATTGTGGTATATTTATGAGCAAATGGTAGGAAACTTAAAATACATTTACATGAAATAGACATTAAATAAAGGCAATTATTAGGATCCCATGAATTCAAGATTTTGCAGGTATGGGCAACCACATTTATGTGTCTATATAACCCAGGATAAACTCCAAGGAGCCACAAATCTGGACAAGCTAGGTTTTGTTGTACACTTGTGACTGAGTTTAAAGGGAGAATGGTAAGTGTTTAGTACATCTCTCTGGGGGAGATCATCTGTGTGAAGGGTCATGAGGATTTAGGACTTTGGAGTGACTTCTGGCCCCATTAATCCAATGGCAGAACTCCTGTTAAGTGCCAAACTCCCATTGCCTCCAACGTTGTCAAGGCTTTACCTCTACGAATCAGAGAGAGCGATAGTCTCAAGGGATTCACAGGCAACAGTGGACACTGCTGTGGGTTTCACTCTGCAGATTAGCACTTGCATGTATCATGGATGCACACTGTGGTACAGAGCAGGATAGTGAAATTTTCCTGCAGCTGTGTTTTGGGGATCTCCATGGTACCGTTCCCATGTTCACAGCTGTAGTGTTGGTGGGCAAGATAAAGCGGGCATGCAAGGAAGAGTTCAGAGCTGTCTGGAGTAGTAGAAGTCCTTGGATCAGATCTGACCCACAGCCACAGCGTTGGTCTGGATAATTTCCCCTTGTAAAGAAATTCACAGGGGAGAGAAAGCAATTGCAAACACAAAGAAATTTCCTGGTGCTTTCCTAATCATCTTGTCAAAAATAAGGAGGGTTTGCCAGAGGAATTGGCCTGGGGAGCTCTGTTCAATCAATCACATGTATTTTAGGATAGGATGGGAAAAACTGTGTGGTGTTAACCTACCTCCACCTAGAGCTAGGATAGCTCTGTAAATCTGTTTGCAGATTCATCCCTCCCTCTGTCTTAATACTACCATGGCTAACTGAAGAGAGTACTTCTGCATAGGCTTCTGTAATGAAGGAAAACCACCCAACAGTGGGCAAAAGTGCAAAATACTGCTGCTTTGGCTT